CCCCTTCCGGGGCGCAGAGTGGGGACGGTGTAGCAGCACTGCAGTGTAGGCCATAGCTGGTCTCTGGAGACCAGGGTGGCTTTATCGTACCAGCTCATCCCTGGGTGCAGAGAAAAGGTCTCTGGGTTTATTTGAGGATGATTCCAGTTTAGCAGTTTCTCCAGAGGTGGGACTGAAGCTCCCAAGGCGACATCCCCCCCCCTTTATTGTGTCTCACCTGTTTTTCCCGCTGTAGAAAATGTCCCTTTCACTGGGACCCAGTAGCTGAAATGGCTCAATGAATCTCATCATTTGAGATAAACCTCTCGTGTCCGCAGGCGGCTGCCTCTACTACGTGGGACCCAAGAAGGAGGAGAAGCGTGAGGTGATCGTGGATCCTGAACGGAGGCGGCAAGTCTTTCTGGAAAGTCATTTCACTGAAATTGGGAACCATCTGGGACAGAAAAAGACCGTGCACCGGATTCAGAGCCGGTACTACTGGCTGGGGATTGTGAAGGATGTTGTGGACTGGGTAAGTTGAGAGCATTGACTATGTCAGTGACATGAGTATTTCCCAGGACGTTCAGGCAGCAGTCCCAAGTGAGCAGCTAGAAGAGCCCTGATGCAGGGATGATGTCGTTGCTAGTGCCTGTTGCTTTGAAGCCATGCACTAAGTAACTCTGCAGGTGAAACTGTTGGAACGTCCCGAGACAGCTGGATAGATTGGATGTCTTTCCCCCCGAGCGTCAGGAAACGTTCTCAGGTAGGCCTCCTTGTGCAGGGCAGTTTTGGCCAGCGTGGGAAGGTGGGATTATTTCAGATGAGTGTTGTTGGGTCTAGCTCTGAGCAGGTTTGTTTTTTTCTGGAGCTGCCCAGTTCCCTAAACTATAGTAACAGCAGGAGCTCAGTGTTTCCACTGGCTCTCCTCAGCTGCTTTGCCTCAATTGTTTTATTGCCAAAAGTTCCCTGCAGCAGGGCTCTGCAACAGTGTGGTTTGAAGAATTGTGGTTGCATTGCATGGTCCAAGGTGCTCCCCCAGCATCCTGGGGCTGATGATTTTTCTAGCCAGCAATAGAAGTTTAAAATACAATAAATATTTGCCTAAAAACAGGGTGAGAAATGTCCTAGCTATAGGCCACATTGAGAAAGTTGGTTATTGTGTCAGAGAAAGCTGTCAGGTAAGTTTTGTGAAGGGTGAGCTGTGTCAGCCTGTTGTGTTTTGCCCTCTTTTCCTTGCATCCTGCTATTTTTATTGAGTAGAAGGAAGCTGCTCAGACGTGCTGTCCCTCTCAGTTCTTTATAACCTGGCCAGTCTGAACCTGACAGTATATGTCAGCCTATTTTAAAGCCCTTTGCGCTGTGTTTTCCCTTTCCAGATCAAAATGTGTGAAACATGCCAGAACGCAGAGCACAACAAGAACGTGTCACGGAAAGCAAGGCCTGTCAAAGCAGAATCACCCTGGGAAGTGCTGGGATTAGACATTCACGGTGAGTGTTTGCAGCTGACACACAGGCTTGTCAAGGCTGCCGTGCCAGCCCTCAGGAATACGGCCCCACGTGAGTGAAGCTGCCCACGTCTGCGGTGAGAAGGTGCCAAGGAGGCCACAGCAGCCCACCTGGGTGCAACCTGATCTGTGTCACTGGCTTGGCTCCCTCCCCATGCACAATGGGAGCTGTGGACATGCATTACTTCCCAGAATTGAGACTGGGATGGGTCTGTTTTTGCTGACAAAGGTCACAGAAATATACTGGCCAAATGACATTGCAGAAGAGAGTTGTGGTGGTTTTCGCAGTGATTGTTTTGCTGGGCTGGGTTTTTAACTTTCCTCATTTGGGTGATATTACAGCATCAGATTGATTTTTCTGGATGTTTTTTTATGCAGGACCTTTTCCTGAGACCAGCCAGAGCAATACACATGTCCTTCTTGTGACCGACTACTTCACCAAGTGGGTTGAGGCTGCTCCTCTGCAGAAGAAAGATCCCTTGTCAGTGGCTAAAGCCCTAGCTACAGTTTTTTACAGGTGGGCTCCTGTGTTGTTGGTTACATTGCATCTCTGCAGTGAGATGGGGTGTGCTGGGATGTCTGTTGCAAAAATACTCTATGTCTTTGAGACAGTTCCCCTCTACAGGAGAGGCCATGCAGTGCTTCTCCGTTGCTCTTTACAAAGTACTCAGGAAGAACCTCTTCTCCTCTTGTTATCAGGAGAGAGGAGAAAGAGGCAGAAGTGGTTCTCCAAGTAGCTGTGAGGCCAAGAGAGCTGGTGCCCCAGTTCTGTGCAGAAGTTTTAAAACCATTCCCTGATCCCTCCTGGAAAGTGTTTATTTTGTACTGACGTGATGCATGTCACCACTTGACATTGTCCTTGTGGAAACTCCATGTGGCCAGTAGAGTTTTGCATTCAGAGCAAGAAACTTTGCTTGTTTCTCCTGCTGCCTTATCATTCAAAAGCAAACAGGCTTGGCTGTTTTGGAACAGATGGAGCCAGCAGACCTCTCTCTGCTCTTGAGGAGGTGAGGTCATGCCAGCCTCTTTAGCACCAGCTCTACTAGGGGGTCTCTGTCCTATATCCCGTGAGAACTGAATTCCACTGGCTCTGCCCTGCAGCTGGTGGAGTAAAACCCAATTGTGTGTCCTCTTCTTCTTCAGGTTTGGAGCATCCAAGAACATTTATGCCAATCAGAGCTGGGACTTCTGTGAGGAGGTAGGTCAGGTGCTGGACAGTTCAGGGAAAAGCAACGTGATCTTGAGCTGTTTTTTTGGGCAGTGGGTCCCAAAGGCAGAGCTGCAGCATGCCATGTAGAGGGGCAAGGAGCTGATGCTGCCTTCTCTCTGCCCCAGCCCTGTTGCCAGCAGTAGATGATTTGCCAGTGTTTTCACCCTGTTAGGGATTTAAGGTTCTGGTTCTGTGGTGCAAGTCTTCCAGCCACACTGCAGCCTTTCCGCTCAGAAGGAAAGGTCCTGTGAGATGATGTACATGAGATTCCTCCCCTACCCTGGGATTAACCCAGCTTCCCACAGCTGTGGAAAGCCTCAAGCATGGGAACAGTCATTGCAAAATATTTTGTCAGGCTCTAATTTTCCTGTGGAGCTTTTTCTGCTGAGCAGTATCTCCTGGCACAGGGATGGTGCTGTCTCATGCTGTGGGGGCTGCTAGCTGCTTTGGTGCAAACCCACCTTGTTCTCCTGTGGGCATGACCCCCTGCCTTTGCAGGTCAGCCGGCATTTATGTGAGCGCTGGAACATCTCACAGATCCTCACCCCTGCAGACCCCGCAGACTGCGCAGGCCTGGACGACCGCAGTGCTGAGGTGCTCAAATCCTCCATCTGCAGTGTGGTGAATGAGAAGCCCAGTGAATGGGACACCCACCTCGACCCCGTGCTTTTTGATTTCCGCACCTCCATCAACTCCGTCACGAAGTACACCCCCTTCTTCCTCATGTTCAACAGATACGTGTGTCTGTCATCCGAGGTAACTTCTCCACAAAAGAGAGTCTTGCAGGAGGTTTGCCACTGGCTGGGTTACAGTAACACCCAGATATCTGTACCTTGCAGGTGGATTTTGTCAAGGACTCTAAAGAGCACGAGGCTGGCTCCGGCAAGGCAGACGGCCTCCTGCCATTCACAGCTGCCATTCAAGAGCAGCAGAATGCGGTGAAAGAAATTGTAAGTCCTGCAGTGCCTTGAAATCATTCTGCAGCTAAGCTCCCACCAGGCTGTGCAAGAGCTGTACAGAAGGGATTTGTCTGTACAAGGACCATGACACAGTGTGCACCTTCTCAGGTGATCAGAGAGAACCCCTGACCCATCTGGCCAGAAATGCCATCTCACAGGAGTCCTTCACCCGTGGGTTCTCTCCCATCACTGAGCATGGCAGGTGGCTGATGGCCTTGAGCGTGGCAGGGAGGCCACGTGTCCGGCTGGGAAGGGGTGAGGCAGAAGCCAGTTAACACCTCCTGAGACTCCACAGGCCTGGCCAGAGAGGAGAGGTGGCTGGTAGCACCTCGATGCATGCCAAGGGCAGCAGGAGCAGAGACAGATCCTCTGAGCTGGCACCATTTGGTGCCACAGGGAAGCTGGTGGTGTTGCTGCTCAGAGCTGGATGATGAAATACAAGGGACTGGCTTACCTCGCCAAGGCTAATGAGAGCTGTGTCCCAGCCTGCCCAGCACCCTGCCTTGTAATCTACATCTCAGATCAGCCAAGGGAGTCCATCCTTAGGCAGGGACAAAATGGCTTTAGGGACATACTGTGTAATTAAGAATGTTAAAAGTAACCCAGCCCCAAAATGGGAGGAGAGAAACTGGGGAGGTTGTGGCTACCATGATGACTAATGAGTGGTCCAGTGGGCAGCTGGGTTTAGGGAGCAAGGCCAGCATTCACTTCCCGACTGTCTAATGTCATAGGTGACCTTGGACAAGTCATTTTGTCTCTCTGGTTCTTGGTTTCATGTCTTGAAAAATTACCTCAATGTCCCCTGTAAAGTGCTTGGCGATCTGTGTGCCAAAAAATAATAGTCGAGGCTCAAGTGCTTTGTTTGCTCGGTCATTGCTTAGGCACGGGGTTATGTGGTCCTCTCTGATCCCACCTGGACTGTGATTCTTCTTGCCAGGGAATAGCAGTAGTAAAACAGGACAGGAGGGAGGAGGCCTGGGAGCTGAACAGGAGGGATCTATTCCCAGCTGATCCCTTTGGCAGTTCAGGCTTGCTGGCTTGGCTCCACTTTTCTGAAATGGAGATGCACACCTTGGCACGGGGCAGCGAGAGCTCTGTCTGGGTAACGCCGAAGCATCCTGTCCTGTCTGTGAGGGAACTTCTGGTATCTAGGTTGTTGACACTCACTTGCAGACAGGCCAGAATTGGGGCCATAATTAACAGGAGGTGATAAAAGCTTCTCTTGGCTCAGTGTTACTCCAGATGAGATCCCCTTCTGCCCTCTACTGATGGAGAACGAAGGGCTCCCTCAGAGCACGGCTGTAAAATCACAATTTCTTAATGCAAGGTCTCTTGCTAGTTTGGGGTTGGTGACAATAAAGCTGGAAAGACCTTGCTTAGTCCCTCCCTTGCCCCAGGGTGCAACTAGCTGTGTTGGCAACTTGCTGGCACAGCCTTGGCTTGCTGAGCTGAGCTCTGCATGCTGCGGCGCTGACTCTCACTCACCGAGCTCTCAGGAGACGGATGCGAGTTGACTGTAAGTGGTGTCTCAAGGCCCAACCCAAGCAATCTGCTTTACAGGTGATCGCCAACATGACCACAGCCTACAAGCGGGAGCGGAAGAGTGTGAAAAGGAAAAGTCGGGGCCTGCCCTCTCTTTCCTTCAAAGTGGAAGACAACGTGTTTGGGAGCAGCGCCGCCAGCTCCCTGAAGAAGCTGAAGAAGGGCCAGTTTGTGTCGTTTCAGATCGAGACAGTCCTGCCACCTGAGCAGAGTATGTCTGTTGTGAAGAAAACCAGTTAGACTCTGGCGCTTTTTTGGGTGTCCAGGGACAGCAGCACGACCTGTCCCTGAGGTTTGTGCTCCAGCTGTGTAGGAGTCCAGGGCGCAGACACGCCTGCTCTGTCCTGGGGAGGAAGGAAGGGGAAGGTTCAGAAAAGGTGTTTGTTCAGTCCCTTCCAGGTCCAGATTTGCCCTTGGACCATCTCTCTGGCCGAGGAAAGTGGCACCATCCTCATTTACACTTTGGCAGCGAGAGATTCGGTCTTGCCAAAGAGCTTCACCTTGACAACGGAGTGGAAACTGCCCCGTTGGGAGCAATTGCTTCACAGCCCAGGGAGCGATCTGAGTGCAAATGAGAAGAGAACCAGAACCTAGACCTGGCTTAGCCACGCTGCAATTTGTTTCCTACAGCTTGAAACTGTCCTCCCCACTGTCAGCCTGAACCAGGAAGAGTCACGCCAGGTCTGACTGCATTCCCAATGGGCGTGGGAATGGCTTGAAGTGAGCTTTTTTTAGTTTTAAGCACTAATTAGCAGAAATAAAATCAACAATAGAAGGTGATATTTTTATTTTTGGTTATGGTGGCAGGAAAAAAAAAAGAATTTTTCCCTTGTAACATCACCATTCTATTCTCTCCAGAAATGGAGTGACCTCTGGGTCTGTTCCTACGCTGGTGAGGGTTATTGGGGTGTTTTTAAGCCCAGTACCCCAAAAATACAGGGACACTTTGCCATGGTGACACCGACCAGCCCCTCTGTCACCTCTGTAGCCCAGCTGGATGCACAGATGCCAGTCAGGGGAAAGCCAGAGCCCTGCCATCCCTTTGGAACTGCCAAAGGGACTTGAAGGAGAACAATAATTTATAAGCTGTATTTCTTGAAACTGAATCCCCCTTATTAGGAGTTAATTTAAAATGCTGTTGAGTTCCTGTGTAGGGGTTAATTTAAAGCCTTGTTGAGCCTCTAATTAGGGTTTAATTTAAACAAGTATGTTGAGCCCCTGCCCTGTTTGTTTTTAAAGCCAGTCTGTGTGTCTTTTCCCCTCCTCTGCTGCAGAAATTAAATAAAACTAATAAAATTATATTAAAATGTTAAAAATATACCGGGTTTTTTGGGGAAAAAAAAAATCAAAGGTGGGGAGAACCCAGGGGCTGCCCTGGCTGGGGCAGGGTGGGGTTTGGCCAGGGCGGTAGTGGGGTCCGGGTCCCCCTCGGCGGGCAATGCCCCCGGGCACCCCGCTACCGCCTTCCCCGGTTAAACCGGGGGGT